CGGGAGACCGGCCGGAGCGGGGAGGGGAAGAGGCTGGAGCCGGCTGCGGAGAAGAGTCTGGGGCCGTGGCTCTCCTGCTGTGCCTGGATCAGCCAGAGGGGGCGCTGCAGAGCAAGGTGTGGGGTTGGAGGCAATGGGGACTTGGGGAGTGCCCCCTCCTACCCATTCCTTCTCCTGCAGCCGCAGGGCCCAGCCCTGGGGCTCCAGGCTCTGTGGCCAGGCCCTGCCTTTGTTTGATGCCCCATCCTAACAGGCTGCTCTTCTCGCCCCTCCTGGGAGGCCCGGGGCTGGCCCGAAGCCTCAAGTGCCTGGGCCTTGCTGAAATCCACAGGGCGCTTTCTGTGGGCTGTGGCAGGCCCCGTTGGGAGAGAGTCCCTTGAAAGCTCTCTGCAAAAGCCATGACTCCAGGAGCTGGGGCTTGACAGACCATGGCTCGGGGGCCCCCCCCTCTCTTCACCCATGAGGTGCAGGGGGTTCTGGGGGCCTGTTGGAACTGGTGCCCTAATGGGGTAAAGCCTCGTCCTGGTTTGTCCGTCGCTCAGAGCAAGCGGCTGGGCAGGGGCGTTTCCCTCGCGGGGCCGCGTGGTCGTGGCCGGTCTGCACCAGGGATCTCGAGAGCTAAAAGCCAGGGCCTGGGACATACCCTTCTGGGCGGCCTGGTCCCGAGTCTCACTGCCCAGGCACTAAGCGCCTCCCACGAGGCAGCTCTGAATTCCCTGGTGCCCACGAATCCTAAGAGCATAAGAACGGCCAGACGGGGTCAGACCAAAGGCCCATGCAGCCCAGTGTCCTGTCTGCCCACAGCGGCCAGTGCCAGGTGCCCCAGAGGGAGGGGACACAACAGGGAATCCTCACGTGATCCCTCCCCTGTCGCCCTTTTCCATAGAAACAGAGGCTGGGGACACCCTCCCTACCCAGCCTGGCTAGTAGCCATTGATGGACCTAACCTCCATGGATCTATCTAGCTCTTTTTTGAACCCTGTGAAAGTCTTAGCCTTCACCGCATCCTCTGGCGAGGAGTTCCACAGGTCGACTGTGCACTGAGTAAAGAAAAACTTCCTTTGGTTTGTTTTCAACCTGCTGCCTGTTCATTTCATTGGGTGACCCCTCGCTCTTATATTGTGAGAATAAGTCAATAACTTTTCCTTATTCACTTTCTCCACACCAGTCATGATTTTATAGACCTCTGTCCTATCCCCCCTTGGTCTCCTCTTTTCTAAGCTGCACAGTCCCAGTCTTTTCAATCTCTCTTCATATGGGCCCTGTTCCAAACCCCTAATTATCCTCTTGCTGTCCCTGGAGCCTGCTCCACCCCCTCTTCTGGCTCATTTCTCCTCCACGTGCCCGGATATTTCAGCGAAGGGGCACTGTGTCGAAACGGAGCGGTGGCAACAGAGCCGGCGAGCCGGGCGGCGGAATGCGATGGGACGTGCAAGCCAGAGGCCTTCTGGGGCCGGCCACGCTGAGGGCCCCAGGGGACGGTTCCATCTCCTCCAGCCTGGAGAGCGGGCAGGCTGTGGCCGGACGTTCGGTGGCAGCTGTGGCAAACAGCAGGGGAGTGGGTTCAAACCAGGGCCCGAGTCCAGTGGCAGCATTGCTGCTCCCTGGCATACGGGGCTGTTGGGGGCCAGCTCTGCTCCCGGGTCAGAGGCTGGGGGGTAGCTAAGGAAGCGACGGCAGGTCAGTGCTGTGGCCGGCCAGCATCTGCTCAATTCCCCCTGTGCTGGGTGCTTCCTGGAGCTGGCTGGCTTTTTGGGGAGGGCCTGGCGCCTGCGAGCTCGGTGGAGCCGGGGGTAGTTGGGTGGGTCTGAGGGGTGTAGCCAGGGTCCCGCTGCACCTCCCCAGAGACCACATCAAGGAGAGGGCCGGGGAGCCGCAGGCAGCGTGGCCCCAGCAGTTGCAGCCTGTAAGTGCTGCTGGATTAGTAGCTGGGCGTTAATGAGCCGGTGGAGGGGAGAGCCAATTACTGTCTGAGGCAGGCAGCCCAGCGAGATCACACACGCCAAGCCAAACAGCCCCTTGGAGTCTGGCACCAGGCGCCAAGTACAAAGGGCCGAGGTGTGATTGATGTGCAGTGAGCGGCTGCCCCACCCACCCCGAGACCCAGGGGCTGACCAGCTGGGAGTCACCGTGCGGCTGGTGCTGATGTAGAGATGGGAGGGGGAGGTGTCCAGGGTTTCTATGCAGCATTGTACTGGGCAGAGGGGTTCCCCTGCCTGTGGGTCCCCATCAGTGTTCTCTGCAAGCTGAGCGTGTGGGCAGCCACCCAGGAGAGATTCAAAAGCCGCACAGCTGATTAGCAGAGTGCCCACAGCTGGCAGCCTGTTTCCACGGGTGGTGCGCATGCACACATGCCTTGGTGCAGGGAACAAAACTTCTTCCAGGCATGGATGGGAACAGTTAGGGGCCATTAGCACGGTGCCCAGCATGCTCGCCACCAGCCGCATGTGGCTATTTGCCCAGCTGAGCGTGGCTAGCTCGCTTCAGAACTGGTTGGACACCAGTGAATTAGAGTCACGTTGGTCCCCATTCACGCTCTTAGGCTGAGAACCCCTGGGGGATTAGGAGAGCCCCCTCGGGGAGGCAGAGGGCCCAGGGGACTGTGGGCACAAGGGGCGAGAGAACAGGGCGGGTGGGAAACAGCCGCGGGGGGGGGGGGGACTGGCACAGGGCAGCGTCCTGCTCCTGGCGGAGGTGGCTCTGCGCGACGTGGGAGCAAATCTCTGCAGTGACACAGACTTGGCCTGTGTGAAGAATCCTTCCCTGTGCGTGTCCAGGAGCGAGCCCCAGAGCCCAGTCCAGCCCCCCAGTCCGGCCTCTCTGCTTCCCTTCTTCCTGCAGGAACCGGGGTGCCCCCTGTGGGGGGGGG